TTTAGTTTTTTTTTTTTTTTTAGCTTTTGAAGGAGAGATACTGATCTTTAAAATTAATAATCCATCTGTCACAGCTCACAGGATTAACATGTGAATCCTATTTTATGGTGAATTTTTTTGTCCTCAAAGAAAAAATGAGTTTCAGGAAAGGCAGCGTGAGGATATGTTCCACTCCCCAGGGCCCCGGCTGATTTTATCTGTCTGTGAAACACCTTGGCTGGACGGGGACAAAGGGAGGGGCCGCGGTTTTGGTCACCAGAGGTGTTTTCCTTGGCAGTGGAATGTTTTTGGTGTGGAACTCTTTCTGTGCAGAGTTTCAAAAGGGAAGCGGTTATTCCAGAAACAGGAAGGTGCTACAAACAATATGGCAACACATGGCCTCTGCTGGAGCTGCTGCTGCCTCCTGCGCCGCCGCCGAGTGTTGCTGTCTGTTGTCAGGAGAGAATATACACAACTGACCGTGTGTGTGTGTGTGTTTGTTTCTAATAACCAAACATGCTCAATCAGTCAGTGGTGGAGATTTGATTGAGCAGATGTGGCCTATGTATCTTTCCCCTCATTCTTTTATTTTTAATTACAGATTTATAGAGTAATGCAAACATTTTTACATTGTACCTTCAAACCTAAGTAACAATCTTCATCAGCAATGACAAATTAAGTCCAATTATGTGTCTCTGGGAGTTTGTGGTAAAGCGGATAAAAATAGCCCTTTACAGTTGTTTGTTGATTATGTGATTTGTGTTTCAGATTTAACGGTAATCATTTCATTGTGTTGCAGTCTGTTGGCTTTATTTAAGCTGGGCTGGTTAACTATGAGACAGCGAGGTGACAGTAAGTGAAAGCACATGTTTGTCGTAATGATCTCATGTCACAATAAAAACAAAATAAATCAAAATTCAAGTCTCCATTATTGTACATTAGTTGTTTAACAAGCAGTGTTTTGTGTTTTTAAATGTACAGAGGTGCAATTTGGTTTATTATTTGTGTTTGTCACGCACGAACAAATGTATTAAACTTCTCACCTGTAAGCCATCTAAATCTTTCAAGATTCAAGAACTTTATTT